TGCTGCCTGCCGCACCACCCGTACATGCGCCCGTGCCGATGGACACCCAGCATATGTGGTGGGACCACTCGACATGGTTTGCACCATTGGTGGGTGCGGAGTGGGCACCGGCTTCCACTTTATTGTCGTCATTGTGGCCGGTTCCCGGGCTGATTCTAACTATGTCCAGCGGCCCACAGCTGGTACCGTATCACCAACCAACCGTATCCCGTGGCCGCACCACCTCAGCAGCCAGCAATGCACCACCCAGTACCACGCACCATGGCAGCACCACCATAACCTTCATCAGCAGGGACGGCATCGGCACTGTACCCTCAGCCCTATGGTGGCACTGGCAATAGTGCCGCCAGCGCTGGCAACAATGCCGCTGGCACTGGCTCCTGGACCCACACTGGCACCGTTGCCCCTGGCACCAGTGGTGCCGTCGCTACCGGCTCCAACCCCTGCTGGCAGTTCATCGCAGCAGACTCCCGGCACTGGGTTTTTGGCACCGGCACCTCTGTGTCTTCCCCCACAGACGCATACCGGAAAACCTGAGTCCATGGCCAGATTTAGATCCACCATGGCTCCTGGACATTCCGCTTCAGCTCTACTTTGGTCCCAGCCCCACCCATGCCGGCGATGGATGCCAGATCCCACCAGAAGCTCCTCCGCTACCTGGCATCCAATTTGGGGGTCCCCGTGGAACCAGTACCAGAAGAATCCAATCCAGTGGTGGACATCCTCTCTGAGGATGCCCCAGCTAAGTTGGCTTTGCCACTCAATAAAAGAGTGGCAAAAATTATGAACACCCTATGGCAGACCCTGGCATCCTTAACCCCTACCCTCAAAGGGGTGGAAAAACGATATTATGTCCCACAGTTGGGACATGAACAGCTGTACTCCCACCCTGCTCCCAGCTCTTTGGCAGTTCAGGCCATGGTACAAAAAGAGAGACTACTGCAACCATCTCAGACCCCAAAAGCCAGAGATCCCAAACACTTAGACTTGCTGGGACATAAGCTGTATGCCACGGGGAGGATGCAGCTTTGCATCGCGAACCAACAAGAGATGCTTATAATACCTGGCAGGCACTGGACAAATTCAAAGACAAACTTCCCCCTGACGTGAGACAAGAATTTGCACGGAAGGCAGGGCCATTGCATGAACAGCCTTGCAGGCCTCCCTGGACTCTGTGGACTCAGTGGCGAGAAC